CTCCCAACTAAGTTGTTCGTGGTCATTATATTATATATATACAAAAATGGTCACACGGAATTACAACGATGTATTAATGGTCACAATCAGACTCATCAGTGATCAAATGCCTTTTTTATATTACCGTTGGTATCCTGTTGCAGACAACCATTGTAGTGTTCGTTGCGACAAGTACAAGGTCCCGCGAGTGGAAAAGTACAAATAAATACTCATTAGATTTTTCGACAGTTATTTATTATCACTTTGAACAGGTTTGTTTTTCTTTTTTGGATCCCAACACTACAAATGGTTTCTGTACACACAGGCATTACAATTTGATCAAACAGAGTTAATTGAGCGCCAGAATTATACATGGGCCGAAATTTATAACTAATTCTTATACTACTTACAACTAAAGAAGGAAGAAGAGAATAGACAGATAAGAATAGTTTAAGAGGAAGATGGAAATACTCTGGATTTTCTTGAGTTTGTAATCTTGGGTGGGACACCACTTTGGAGCTTTACTTGGAACGTTATTTCTCATCCTTCCTGTGGACCTCTCATATGATTCTTTCTATGGCTTCCTTCAACGTCTTTGTATAGGAATTCCTTCCTATAGATTCCTTGGCTCCATATAGACTCCAATCATCTTATACTCGATCTGGAGCGCTACCTCTTTTCCGTCCTTATTCTTCGGAATTCAAGCCCAAACTCCTTTTGCCAATACCTCGTAGTCTCCATCCTACACACAATCCAGATCACTATCTTCTCTCATCCGTTCTCATCAAGAACCCGACCAAGACTCTCCTCTCTCCTTTGTTCACCGGCCCCCTGAGCCCTACTTCACCTTTTGTTCTACTGCTCATTTCTTGGAAACAGTAATCCCGTCGGGAGGAGAAGGGGTTGAAGAGAAAGTTCTAGGAAAAGTAAGAACAAAGGAACAAAGAAAAAGTTAAAACTAACTAAAATTAATATTTTTGTACAATATTATAGCTGATGGCCACAATACATCGGATGGATGGATAAGAAATAATTAGTGGTGAGATAAACAGTGTCTTTACATTGAAAGTTCTTTCTTGTGTTCAAATTTTAAAATGTCAGTACAAACAAATATCCATATTGTTTCTCATTTTAAACACCACTAATGGTCCAATTTGATTAATAAACAAAAGTATTGCATAATGTTTAACTAAATATTTATTTATAAATACAGTAAACTCCCAAGTATCCGGGCTAATGGTGCGGAGAGGTGGCATGGATAGTCCAAACTATAATTATTTATTTGAAAAAAATATTATGTATAATATGTGTCATACATACATACATACATATAATCAAATCTTAAATTGTGATATGTATTATAACATGCAACTAAACAAAACTTTGTACTTACTATCGTTTTCTCCTCCGAAAAGAAACGTCCGGCATGAAAGAAGCAGCCTAACTAAAACCAGCCCAGCTGACTTCAGATAACCCCTCCACCTGCTTCAAACATCTAAATAGTTCGTATTTAGATGTTTGAAGCGGGTGGAGGGGTTATCTGAAGTCAGCTGGGCTGGTTTTAGTTAGGCTGCTTTTTTCATGCCGGACGTTGCACACTTATAGGATGCGTAAACATGAAAGCGAGCAATTATTTAAAAAATACATAAACATATAATTATTATTTCTTTTAATTAAATTTATGCACGGATAATTGGAAGTTTACTGTAGTGAGCAGAACTCTAAGTATGTATAAATTTTGGAAATGAAATTTGACCTAATATATTTGAGTTCTGGTCATTAATATTTTTAATATAAGTTTAACTTAACCAAAAAGAGTGTAAAATTCCATTTTGGTTTCTGATTCAGCTACAAAATCTGCTTTCGGTCAGACCATACCTGTCTGTGAAAAATGTAACAATACCAGATCAGATACCTGAGGAAAGTATAGATACCATATCAGTATCAGAACAAAACTATCAAGTACAAAAAGTATTCGATAGCAATACTGATAGTCTAGGGACATCCATATTCATTAAACTGTGTGCATGTACAATACACCAGGGATGGCCAAACTTATAAGAGCCATGTACTCAGTATTAAAGCTGTCTTTTCTATTGGAACAGTATTATATATATTATATACATAGTGTTTAGATTACATATGTTTACAGAGGAAAAATATCAAGGTCAGATCTCTATCCCTAAGTAATAAGAACTACAATAAGATATCTAGAAGAGCCACAAAGCTCACAAACTGCAATTTGTCACTTTATATATAAACTAAAGACATACTAAGGAATAAGTTAAAAATAAGGGAAAATCTTTTAATACCATAACATATTAATGTTTGTTCATTATTGTGTGCGCGCAATTACTAAATAAGATTTTTGTATTTTAAATTAAATAAAAAGTAAACAGAACAAAAATATGCATAATTTATAGTTTAAATATTTCTTGAAAGGATTACTTCTATATTAAAAAAAATTATTTAGTATTAATTTCTGTAAGTTAGAAGTGTCAAAATAACTCAAATTATACAAAGTGAGGCTAGTCTGTTTTTGTTTTTTGTAAATGTGATAGCAAAAATTATCCCTAAACTCTGTCTATAAATTACTACTTCTGACGAAATATAAAATGTTGCTTCAAATTCTACTGCATAAAATTTAATAGAATATAAATTAAAGAATTTTCAATTCTTTGAATGTAATGTGTGTGCTAAGGGCAATTAAAGTTGAAAGGACATTCAGAGTACTAATAGAAAAAACAGTAAATTGGGAAGCATTTTTAAGAATCTTTGTTATTTTCTTGCAATATATGGAAATAATCATTTTACTAAATATTTTTTTTAATGACGACTGACTAATTCTTTAGAATTAATTTAAAATTGTCATTTGTTTTAGCAAAATCTTGTTTACCTTTTCACATTAATTGCTCATATAATTATCATATATTTTCTTTTTCAGGAAGTATTGTAACCTGATTAATTTAAATGTCAGTTTAGAAGAAATATATAATTTTCAAAAAGATGGAAATACTCTGGATTTTCTTGAGTTTGTAATCTTGGGTGGGACACCACTTTGGAGCTTTACTTGGAACGTTATTTCTCATCCTTCCTGTGGACCTCTCATATGATTCTTTCTATGGCTTCCTTCAACGTCTTTGTATAGGAATTCCTTCCTATAGATTCCTTGGCTCCATATAGACTCCAATCATCTTATACTCGATCTGGAGCGCTACCTCTTTTCCGTCCTTATTCTTCGGAATTCAAGCCCAAACTCCTTTTGCCAATACCTCGTAGTCTCCATCCTACACACAATCCAGATCACTATCTTCTCTCATCCGTTCTCATCAAGAACCCGACCAAGACTCTCCTCTCTCCTTTGTTCACCGGCCCCCTGAGCCCTACTTCACCTTTTGTTCTACTGCTCATTTCTTGGAAACAGTAATCCCGTCGGGAGGAGAAGGGGTTGAAGAGAAAGTTCTAGGAAAAGTAAGAACAAAGGAACAAAGAAAAAGTTAAAACTAACTAAAATTAATATTTTTGTACAATNCTATTTTATTAAACAAAGTTTACATGTTTGTTGCTGTAATGATAGATACTACGTTTTCCTACATTTTCATCAAAGAAAATTACTGTATATTACAAATTAAATCACAAAAATTTCGGAGACTAGAACGGATTAATTGCATTTGCATTAATTTCTATGGGAAAAATTGCTTCGGTTAACGAACAATTCAGTTAACGAACGGAGTCGCGGAACGGATTAAGTTCGTTAACCGGGGTTCCACTGTATAGATCCATGGTATTGTGGATTTTAATGCACAAGAGTCCAAGTACAGATCTGTTCTATTCTAATTTTAAAATACAATGTAAAGCAATACAAAATTTGTAGTTCCTGGGAAAAATCATTTCCTCAATGAACAAAACTATACCACAGCCAATTTTATGACTTCTACAAAAGTGAGAGTTTCTGTAAATTGTCAAAAGTTAATATTTTGATATGCATGATTTTTTGATTACTCTGTATTACAAGGCTGTTCTAGATGGGAGTCAAATTTCTAACACCAATTGTTTGTCTTGAAACTGATTACTTCACCTTGCAACATTTGGATATGAGCATTTTTATTATAAGCAGTGTATGAATTAGTGTGAATTTTGGTTGGCCTTCCTGAGTTGCATATGTGCATAGATCTTTTAACTTGAGATTTTGTGTTAAATTTAAATTTAAAAATACCCAGGTTCATGCAGTAAACTAATTGCTGTAAGACAACTGTTTTTAGTGAGTAGTGATCAGGTTTATGCCTTATTGTGGTGAAAAATCTAATATTGCATCAGATTTGTCCTCACATCTAATGAAGAAAATTGATTAAGATGCAACACTTACATTCAATAAACGACTAAACACGCTTGTAATATGCATGACATTAGTTTGAATCTTTTTTCTACTGAAACAAGAGTTCCAGAAATTTTATAAAAAAGAAAGGTCTATACTTGTTTTGACCATGTAAAACTTCTATTAAGAAACTAAAACACACAATCTATATAATGTGAAATAGTCGAACAGTAAAAATTGCCTCATTAGTAGAAAATGCCCTTATAATGGTATGTCAGTCCTCTTGTGAAGAACTTCAGATTATCATAGTTCTATTATGGAATTTTGATGATATAAAGGTATAATGCTTATTGATGAGTTACCACAATGAAGATAGTAGAGAACATTATATACAAATATTACTAATTGTTTCCATAATACATGAAGAATTTCTCACTTTGTACCTAAATAACTATAAAATAAATATAAGGCTGCCACATTGGCGCAGGTGCATATGGTTGAAGGGAGACTGTATTGAGAAGGTGTACTGAGTTGTAAGTAATTTGTAGTAAAGTGATAAATTAATATGGTATTCCCCTCATAAATATAATTTCTGTTAATGTTTTTCAGCTGTATTAATGTGTCTATGTAACTTCTTACAGCTAATCATTATACAAATATGAAAATATAACATAATAATTTGCCTTTTTTAAATTATCTTTTTTAGCCTCTCAAGAAACTGAAAGTGTCAAAAGACAATACTCAACATTATTGGATGCCAATGGATGTTTAGGTGTCCTACAGGTTACAGCTGGTAAGTTGAAGACCCTATTTTATATTTCACTGAAACTGTGATTATTGTATACTGTTTTATAGTAAATAAATTTAATTTACACTGTTTGTACAATTTCATTTAAAACAATTTAAAATATTTCTCCTGTAAAGTTTAGCTTTTTTTGCAAAACAAACTTGAGACCAAACTTCAGATACATATAGTCTATGTGAGAGGGAGTAGGTCTGATATCTTGAAGGTAACAACCAAACCTAGAAAACAATTGTTAGAAAAATACTACGTACTCAGAGATTAATAAATTAAAGTCAATAGATTATTTAATAGTTTTTTCTAAATGAATGCAATACAATAATTAAGCAATTTACTAATATTTGGTAATTTTAAAATTTAGTAATTCAACAACACGAATCGTAAAGCGATGTGAGTTGTTACCTCATTTACATGTTTATACATTATTTGTTTTGCATGCATTTATTCTCCCTGCTGGGAGTAATCTCTAATGGTCAGGCTATTTTGTTACTTGTTATTAAGTCAAATAATTATCACTTAACTCAGTGGCATAGCATAGTGGGGCGGCAGGTACGGTCTACCCCAGGCGGCACTTTTAGGGGGCGGCAAAATTTTACAATAAATAATAATAATATCTTGTAAAAATTTGAACCATTTCATTTCATATTTTTGTTGCACCTACGATTTGGATTAATTGAAATGAGCACGGAATTTTTCATTACTTATTCTGTGAGGAAACTGAATTTTAGTCTTTTAAATTGAGATACCTAAATAAGGGGAAATTTTCCTCCACCCCAGGCAGCTGACACCCTGGCAGCTACACCACTGACTTAACTTTGCTTTTTGCCAGCTTCTGGTTTTCCTGGAATGGTTTTGTCACTAGTGGCATCTCCAGAAGCCAGTAATTGTAACATGGTTTTCTAGATCTTTATTTTCAGTTGGGAGTGTCAAGCAATTTTCCTTAACTAAATAAATATCCAAAATAAATTATCAAGAACAAACGAAAGTTGGATTTGCCACACATTTGTAAAATTATTTGGCACTTCATTAATCTTGTTGTTTCTTGCTGTACTGGTCAAAACAAGAGATTCTGCATAGAAAGTTATTTATGATAAACAACTCTGAATGTTATAAGTTATTGTTACATAAGTTACAGTAAAATATACAACAAAATGTTGAAAAAATATATTTGAGCAAAGTTTCTCATAATTTTTTGTTTATTACACTGGCTTGTATATTTTGTCAAAATCGCATGTTTCTTAATTGTTTTGACCAGTGTAGATCTTGATATAGTACTGTACATCATAATCACAATTATAATCAGTAGTTACAACAGTTCTATAGAACTTCTATCTTATTTTGAATGAATTATTTTTTAGTTTGTCAGTCATTAGTAGTATAGTCTATAAATTCAGTATGATTTACATTAAGTTGAATCAGTTTTATGTTTCAATAAAATTTTCTGTTAGAAAGAATAGTTTTTGCGTTTTACAGGTGAAACACCAGTACTTTATCTTGTTCTAATTACCGGATGTTTATCGATTGGAAAATTGGGAACTTCAGAAATATTTCGAATTACTGACACGACTTTTATTTCGCTCCGTAATAATCCTCAAGATCTTGAACGCATTCAAGAAGTAAAAAAAGTACTCAATTCTGGCACTTTCTACTTTTCCTGGACGTCTACTTCTCAAGAACCTCTCGATCTTACTCTCTGTGCACAGAGAACTGTGCATACAAAGGAAACAGATAATCGTTTCTTTTGGTAAGCATTAGCCTTTTACTTAACAATTATGTTGTATTAATATTTATAGCCTTATCTGTAATCAAACAAATTTAAAATATGAATTTCAGGAATCGAATGCTGCATATTCATCTTCTTAGATTTGGAATTGATTGCTCTCAATGGTTAGTGAAAGCGATGTGTGGCGGAGTCGAAATGAGAACAATTTACATAGGACAATATCAAGCTAGAGCTTGCGTAATATCGCGTTTAAGTTGTGAAAGAGCAGGAACTCGTTTTAACGTTCGTGGGACTAACGATGATGGCCACGTCGCAAATTTTGTAGAAACGGAACAGGTCCCTCGTGTTCTTAAATATTTTCATTCTTACATTTTTGACAATAGAAAAATAAAGTTTTTATTCAACAGGTGATATTTCTTGGGGATAAAATAACGTCTTATGTACAGACAAGAGGATCCGTACCATTATTTTGGGAACAACCAGGAATACAAGTAAATTATTATTCATTTTTTTCAGTTTTTCAATTGTATCTTCTCAAAAATAATGGTGATCTTTAATAGGTGGGATCACATAAAGTCAAAATGTCTCGAGGCAGCGAAGCTTCCACTCCGGCTTTTGAGAGGTTAATATTTTACGTATAAGAATAATGACAAACTAATTATTAAACAGGTAAATTGATCTAATTATTAAAACCATTTTATAGGCATTTGACGTCAATAAAACAAAGATATGGGGATCAAGTGATAATAAATTTGTTAGGTTGTAAAGAAGGTGAAATGATGCTTAGTAAAATGTTCCAGGTGTGTATATTTACATCCCAAGTTTTTTTTTTTTAATTTATGAAAATGTAATAATAATAACTACTTTATACAGAATCATCATAAAGTATCCAGACATAATGACATTCCGTATATTACATTTGATTACCATTCAATGTGCAAAGGTGGAAAGCAAGATAATCTTGTTGTACTTAAGAAGAAAATTTCTTCACAGCTTCAAGATTTTGGATTATTTTATTCCGAAGGATCTAATGTTATTGTGTGAGAAATTATTTATATTAACTTTAAATATTAATATATACAACTTACTTTTAGTCTTTAGTTTTTACAAGGCTGCGAGTTCAGCTAGGATCACAATGGGATGGCAAACAGTGCTAGACATGTGCCAACAAAAAAATTCCCAGTGTTCTTTGCCTACACAGATTTATTTTCAGGTTACCTGAGCAGTAGTTTGTTGTCTTAATTATCTTGGTATTTAGACTAGCAATATTTGACCTAGAAAAGTAATTAAGAGTTTATTCTGGTGGCTAAAAAATGACCAAAAGAATAGCTGGTAGTGGTGCATAATTTCTTTTATATTAAGTTGCCAATAATGATTGTAGTTTAATGAAATTTATAGAATATAATGTAGGAGGAAAAACTGAAAATAAAGTTACATAATTTAAAAGTTCAATCTGTTGGCTAAGGTCATATTTTGAGTTTTTACATGATTTGTTTCTACAAAATGTTACAATTGTCATTACCGTGGTACTTTGCTATTACATTGCAAGTATAAAAACAATTTAAGATATTGGATGTGTAATAAAATACTATTTATTTGGTATTCGTTTCTAAATTTTTTGTGCAAAAAAGAGTTATACAGAAAAATTTACAAAATTATTGATTATATGGGTTATAAAGTAGTAGATCTTGATTTCTAAGCTTTGGATAAACTGAAATTACAAGAATTTACTCAAATAAACTAGTAAATGCAACAAAACTGGACAAAATTATAAATGATTTGCACTGTTTTTCAATAAAAGAAATCTACTTTCAATGATCATTTTTCTTAAGAGGAAAGTCTTTATTTCCTTTAAGAAGCCATATTATTTTTTCAAAATTTTTGATAAGTTTGCAGTTTAGTGTGAACTTGGCCGTATTTCCCCTTCAACATGGATAAGTGCCAGCCTATCTCTCTATAGGACCTAGGATCAAATTGGGGCAGTCAACTCTGGAAATTTTTTTATATTCTGGATATGTTAGGAATCCCCATTCCTTGTAGCCTGGTTCCTTCATTGTGGACCTTGTCAAACTCACAATGGACATGAGCAAAAAGGCTCCCTTAGTGCCCACAGGACATAAGTAATTAAAATGGGAAAAAGTAGTTATATATTAATTTTTAAAGCTTATATAAATTATTAAAAAATTTATTTATTTATGAATTTTTCATATCCATCAAATAAAACTTTTTGATAGAAGAATTTTGAAGAATTAATTGAAATCCAGTATTTATATTTTCATAAACTCAAAAATATCAAACAGCAGAAGTATAACAAAGGGATGAATTTGGGGAAAAAATAAAACACTGTCCTTTGCAAAATTTACTAAAGATCATACCGTTTTTTCACTCTTTTGAATGTTGTACAGTAATTAATACATTATTGAATTACAAACTAATTAGAAATTTGTTTGGTTGAATTGGTTAGAAAACGTAAACAAAATTCTTTCATAATCATGTAATACTTCCACCTTTAAACTATTGACTTAACTAAAACAAGTAAACATCCTCCATCATATAAATATATTTATTTCTCAAAGGTGGTTGCAATATATGCAATATGCAATATATTAACTGCTTATTATTGACAATCTTATGTTTTTCGAAGTTTTCTGAAATGGTATTTTTCAGTAATCATTTAATTTAAATTATTAAACATATATACATATGTTATATATATATATATATATATATATATATTAATAATTTATAATATAAGTACAGTCAGATTTTGAAGACTAAGTAGAGTGTTAACAAATTCATTTATTAAGCAAATTATTACACACATTCCTTTTCAGATTAATGTTTCTCGGCACTGCCAGCATCAATAAAACTTCAGTAAACATTTTCAGTGCATTTTCTGGAATTGCACGTAAGATCTTCTGTGATGCTGTGATGACGTCCACAGACGATGGAACTTCTGTCCATGAAGTTATTGTTTTGTATGGCCAAAAGAGAAATAATTGCATGCTGCCAGATCGAGTGAATATGCGGGATGTGACAAAACTGCCGTGCATGTTTTTGCTACCTCAGTTTGCATCAGAAGAGAGCAATGTGCAGAAAAATTGTCATGCAAGAGAAACCAATTGTTGTTAACATTCCATCACAACTTGGGTCGCACACATTTTGCATCATCTGTGTGAATCAATTGGTTTCTCTTGCAAATAATTCTCTTCTGGTGAAAACTGAGCTAGCAAAAACATACATGTCAGTCCAGTCTTATCACATCCTGCATATACACCCAATCTGACAACATGCAATTGTTTCATATGGCCAAAAAGGAAATAACTTCATAAACAGTGATTCCAATCATCTGCAGAGGTCATCACAGTAAGCTATGTGCAATTCTAGAAAATGCTTTACAGGAGTGCTTCCTGCAGTTGTATTGATGCTGACAGTGGTACATTGTGGCTAAGGGACATTACTTCAAAACTGGGTGTGTGCAATAATAATTTGCTTAAAAATGTATTTGTTCACAATCTGCTCAATCCTGAAACTTCTTGACTGTATTGCTTGTGTGTAAGTACAGGGTCTTCCAATAAAGAATGTTACCATTTTCAATTACTGTAGTTATATGTTGTATATTTCAGGTAATAATTAACATATCAGTCAATAGAATAAATATCAGTTTAATCTACCATCTGCATACAAATGTCTTTTGTCTACTGCCATAAGCAAAAACAGCGACTCCACAACAGAGAAAGTATTTTGTGTTTTATATGCAAAATTGGAATCAGTCATGGGGATCACTTCAAAATTATCATTCATAGACAATTTCAAAAGGAATGTGTATATTCGCTGTCTCTGAATTTGTACAAGGTATACGTGATGCACAATGATCAGCAATTCCAACTTTGAAGACTACAGAACACAAAATGCCTTCTGTTGTAATGTTGCCATTTTTGTTTATGGCACTTTCTAGAGGCAACAGACAAAGATGTTTGAATATATATGGCAGATATACTAGAGTAAATGTTCTAGTTTTATATTGCATACTTTTCAGGTAACAATTTAACATACAGGGTGCATAGGAAAGACCCTTTAACCGGAAAATTCTTGTGAATGGAGAGAGCTACAGCTATGCTATGAGGTAATGGTATAGTAAAGTGACTACATCTGACCTAATGCAAACGACAGCAGTGCCCCTAGTGGCAAAATTTGAAGATAGGCAGTGCAAAATGAAAACAGAGCAAACTTTCTAATTAGAAAGTTTTAGGGCATCAATTAATTTATACGAAATGACATGTGATTCACACAGATCAGATAAATTGTCGCCTGTATACCCAAAAATTTCCTAAAGCAATGCACACTGTTTTGTGTAAACATTTGAAAGGGATAGCCATAGATATGAAGAAATATGCACAATTTATTGCATAAAATATGTACTTACATCAATACAGTTTGATAACAGTGGCTTGTATCGTGAGAAATGGCAAACTTTTTGAATATACTCGACATTAACTTGTTATTAATGTGTGACAGTTTGCCTTTCTGTTGTTTTTTTGTGATGTTATCAAACAGTATTGACGTAAGTACATATTTTATGCAATAAATTGTGCATATTTCTTCATATCTATGGCTATTCCTTTCAAATGTTTACACAAAATGGCATGCATTGCTTTCAGAGAATTTTGGATATACAGGTGACAATTTATCTTATCTGTGTGAATCACATGTCATTTCGTACTAATTAATTGATGCTCTAAAACTTTCTAATTAGAAAGTTTGCTCTGTTTTCATTTTGCACTGCCTATCTTCAAATTTTGCCACTAGGGGCACTGCTGTCATTTGTATTAGGTCGGGTGTAGTCACTTTACTATACCATTACCTCACTTGCATAGCTGTAGCTCTCTCCATTTGCAAGAATTTTTCAGTTAAGGGACTTTCCTATGCACCCTGTATAGTAATTTAAAATGGTAGCATTCTTTTTGGAAGAACCTGTAAAAAAATTTTTTTTACTATTTAACAAAACTCTTTGAAGCTGAACTTAATTCATCTTTAATGAAACAATTATTATATTGACATTGCATTAAAATTTATTATCTAATAGAATATTTTCTACTGTCTTTACAGGCAGCAAACTGGCACATTCAGAACAAATTGTTTGGATTGTCTTGATAGAACAAACTGCGTTCAGTCTTTTATTGGACTACATGTAAGTGTTGTAACAAAATTTGACTTAGATTGAAGTTTGGTACTCGTATAAACAAAAAAAATTAAATTTATTTAAAGATACTCTACAAACAACTAGAATATTTGGGATTATCCGACAAAGCACAAATTGTATCAAGGTTTGAAGAACTTTACCGTCAGATGTGGGTACTGAATGGCGATCAGGTCAGCAAAATATATGCTGGAACTGGTGCTCTCGAAGGAAAATCAAAGGTTAGTTCATTTAATTCAAATATAAAATTCTGTTTTTTAAATACTGTCTTGAAGAAAATATATTCTAAAATTTTTCCAGTTAAAAGATGGTTCTCGATCAGTTGTAAGAACAATCCAGAACAATTTACTGGATAGTAGCAAACAGGAAGCAATTGACGTTTTGTTACTGGGAAGTGCTTTGAGTACCGAACTGGCAGACAGAGCTCGAGCTCTTCTTCCTACGTATATGCTTCATGGTAGGCATGTTAAAGATACTATTTTATCAAATGTTACAGTCATTCTAAAAAGTGTCCTCCTTAGTTCCGGCAAGTATTTTGAGGGCAATGTGCAATCGTCATAGAGAATATACTACGTCAATGATGCTCAGAGTCGGCGTCGCTACATGGAATGTAAATGGGGGCAAACATTTTAATAGTGTGGTCTTCAAGCATCAGTCTATGGCAGAGTGGTTGTTAGATAATCGAAAAATTTGTAAAGCTCAAGGTAATTAAATGCGAAACTGTCAAATTTTTACATTTAAATGCTTCCCCTAATTTCTATTTTTATTTAGCTCTTGTCGACTTTTCCTTTGAGGAAGATAGCACTCCTGTTGACATATATGCTATCGGATTTGAAGAAATAGTTGATTTAAATGCAAGCAATATTGTAGCTGCAAGGTACAGTACTCTTATTCCAAAAGATAAAATTTGATATAAATATTTTTCTAAATAAAAAGAAAATATGAATAACACTTGCAGCACAGTCAATCAGAAAGAATGGATGGGAGAATTACAGAAAACAATTTCTCGAGATAATAAATATATATTAATAACATCAACACAGCTAGTTGGCGTCTGTCTCTTCTTGTTCGTTAGACCTCATCTTGCTCCTTTCATAAAGTAAGTTTAAATTTCAATTTTTGAACTGTAAATATTTAGGTCACACATATCTCAAAAGTATTAAAATGATTGATTTTTAGAAAAGTGGTTTGTCTTTATTTTATTTAACATAAAATTCTACTTACACTCAGCTTTTTTAAAATATATTTTATTTCTTAGGGATGTTGCTGTTGATATGGTTAAAACTGGTTTAGGAGGAGCAACTGGCAATAAAGGTTGCGTGGCAATTCGTCTTCTCATTCACAGCACATCAATGTGTTTTGTTTGTGCACATTTTGCCGCTGGTCACTCTCAGTTTAATGAAAGAAATGCTGATTATAATGAAATTACAAGGAAGATATTATTTCCCATGGTAAGCTAGTTCTAAATACTAAACATACATAATATCAACATAACTAATTCTGAATTTGGGTAACAAATTTAAGGGGAGAACTTTAAACTCTCATGATTACGTATTCTGGTGTGGCGATTTTAATTATCGTATTGATATGACTAATGAGGAGATTAAAGAATTGATTCATCAGAGAGACTGGCCAGCTTTACTTCAGAAAGATCAATTAATGGTTCAACAAAAAGAAGGAAAGGTAATTTACTTTTTTAATTCAAAAGCAATATTTGTATGTGTAATAATGTACATAATATGTAATATAGTTTCACTCATAGTTTTAGTTCTAAAACTCAAGAGTGACTAAAACAACACTAATTATACAATAGTTCTTTCTTTTTTATAAATGATGTGACCATATTTGAATGTTTTTTCTTGAAAAACCAACTTTTTTCACTGATTAAGATATTTCATCCAAATATTTTTCTTTTAAATTTGAATTCAAAGTAGCCATTATTTAAGTTAAAATGTCAATCATTAATAATTTTATAACTAAATAATAATCTTATTATAAATTTAATTCTTGTTATTTATGTTAAAGGTATTTAAGAACTTTATCGAAAAAGAAATTAATTTTCCACCTACTTACAAATATGATCTATTTTCGGATGACTACGACACAAGTGAAAAGAACAGAATACCTGCCTGGACGGACAGAGTTTTGTTCCGGAGAAGACGTCTACTGAGCGAAACAGGTAATTTTCTGATTTCAAAGTATACTCAAAACATTTTATAATAATATAAGACATTTACTCCATAAACAAATGTAGGAAACTTATAAATTCTTGTTTCTTGTTTCTGTATTTTCAGAAGATCCATTGTGGTCTCCAGGAAAGATTGTGCACTATGGCAGAGCCGAATTGAAAACTTCTGATCATAGGTATTTATAAATAAGCACTAGATCTTATAATTTTTAAGTTAAACAGTGTCTGCTGTAATCTTATTATTAATGGAAGTTTATTATAGTTGGATTATGATAGTTTTTTAGAAAAATACCGTGACTACATAGGCAAAGTAATTTAAATTGTCATTTTCTCAATTGGTGACACTTTTTTGACAATTTGGTGACATGCATTTCTGCTTATAAAGACAGTAATTAATATTCAAATCTATATTGGGGACATTTCAGGCATTCAATGGTGTTCGTGTGAAGTTTGAGTGAGCTTATCTTGAGAAAGAAGGATTATTTAATGATGATTTTTATGGCAGTTTCAGGCATATTTATTAATAATTACATGGATTTTACTTATTATGGCTGGAATTGAGCAAAATCCAGATCCTTTATCGCATTCTCCATCGAAGAGAGGACTTCCTCTATTGACCAGAAGTAGTAATGCAATTAAGGTGTCTAAATTGGCCAATGTGGAAGTTATGTCCTTAAACAACCTGTCACTTCTAATGATATGGAGAGGAGTGAAAAAGTATATGAAGAAGAAAGGAAAAATAATTTTGAATCTATATTAATGGATTGTTTTGAGTTAATGGAGAAGGATGCTAGCCTGACTGCAGCCAGCTTACGACAGTTGTCGAAACTAAAACTAAACTTCAAATCTCGCATCTATATATATAACCCATTCAATGGGTGTCTGTCCGCATAACCGTTTGATAACGGACACTAGAGGCGCCCCTATTGTGTGTCATATTTCAAACATTCGAATTAACAATTTTAATTATTATTTAAATTAACAATATAAATTATTATTATTCATTTGGCCCATAAATTATTATTTGGTCAATATAACAATATAAATAAATCAGTATATTTGTAATAGGAATTATTTCAGGGGCTTATATCTTGCGAAGGGTCGCGAGTAGGGGTATGGTTCCTTTGACTTTATTGTTCGCACAGGGGCTACAGTTTGGGGGGGTCGCCACCTCTTCATTCGGAGGGTAAATCTTATCATTGGGACTTTAACAGAGCTGTACAGCATATTGATAGGAACAAAAAAGTCAAAGGAACCGTGCCTCATGGAAATTTGTAAATAACGCCCACTAGGGGGCATCCCAGGCTACTAGTAGTTCTATAACTGAACAAATTTTGGAAGTGAAAACAGAAATTAGTTTGAAATATCAGGACATTAAGGATTTTAAGACCAAGCTTGGTTCATTGGAATAGAAGGTCAACAAATTAGAAACAGTATTACTTGACTTAGACAGGAAATTGGAAGCTCAACAGTATATGGCAAATAATATTTTAAATATATCCAATCAACTTAATCTGATGCTATTTGGCTATCCAATGAATGATAATATGAATATTAAAGACAGCCTAATAAATTTCTTTAGGGAGATATTGAAATTGATAGAATTTAAAATGGAGGAAATTATAAGTTCTTATAATATAAGGAAAGAAGAGCCCATGATCTCAAAAATTACATTAAGTACTGTTCAAAGAAAAAATCAAATATTATCAGTCTTTTCTAACTACAAAAAAGTATCCTGTGAGCAATTTGCAACCATTTCCTGAACTCACTCAAGAGACTAGGGATCGTAGATACAAAATTCTTCTGTTTTTATATAGAAGCAAATAAAAAGATAATCATTTCTTAATAAAATTTGCATACGCCCTTTATAAAAATAAGAAAATTACTTGGTTTTATAAAGAATTGCTTGGTCAATACTAGATCTTTTTTAGATGTAGAAATCAATTGACTAATTTATTCAGTATTGTAAATACTAACGTTAACAACAATAGTAGCAATAATTATGTTGACGTAAATTCATCATTAAACAAAGAATCTGAGATCAAGATCATTAATTTGAGTACCCAGAGTGTCAGAAATAAGTTTTTTTCTGTTTATTTCAAAACTATTAGAGATTTATGAAATCATCTCTAATAGTTTTGACTTGGATTACTAAACTAAATGTAAAGGAGATAGATCTCATGCAAACAATATTTAATTATATTTTTGTTCCAACAATAAAAAAACCTGGAGTTGGTAGGCTGAAGGGTGGAATTATGCTATTAATAAACAAATCCTTGGGAAATTTGGTTTATCCCTATTGATGTATATACCTATTGTGAGCTTGAGGGTTTTGAGGGCATAAATTTTTGAGTTTAAGGGGTGAATGACCTTTTTTGAAGGAAGTGTAGACATTAGAGGATGAAAAAAAGAATTATTGCAAGTTCCCACAGAAATAGATCAGATGTCGACTCTTACACATCGACAAGATAGGAAGGAAGAAAGGCAAGTCATCGTAACTTTGAATGACCTGTTGGCTCTGTGCCAATGATGAGCGTATAAAAAAACAATTGTCTCAGGAAGTTCAGGACAATCGTCCCTCAGCATGATCGTCCCAGAAAGGTCTTAGTACAAGTGTCTCCCATCCTGTCCGAGGAGAAGCAGGTAGAAGACATAAGACTGTTCATATTCCATGGTTCAGAATGATCGTTGCATACTGTCATCCTACAGCATATTAAGGTATATCTGAGTTCAGTAACCTTTGTAAACTCTCTCTCACTCTAGAAGTTAGGCACGTAACAAGGTTACTAGTTAGATTGCCATTATAGATAGATTTGTGTATTATCTGTATCTAAGCATTAATCAGTAACTTCCTTATGTATACTCCTGTAAATTAGCTTTAGTTTTATAATAAACTCATTCTTGTTTGTTTAACCTGTGAACATGACTATCATTGCTTGCATCTATCAACTTTCTCAACACCCTCGCCACTCGATAGAAAGCCATCCAGTGACACTGTGAGCGTATCTGATGATTAGAGGGCTCTGTCCCCTCGTCTGTATTCTCACACTATTATACCCATTTGTAATAGTTAAATTAGAAAATCATAAATTTAATGGGTTCTCTAATGGTTATTTGGCAATAATTGCTAATTATACTCCCTATGAAATGCCCCAAAGTCCATTTCAAGAAATCGTGAAAACCTTTTCAAACTGGTCACATTTCACCTCATTGTGGTTAATTCTTGGGGATTTTGATGCCAGAATTGGAAATATGATTCTAATTATAACTGGAATAATCATGTGGTTTATAATATAAGAAGTCAAAATACAGAAATCAGCAAGAAAGGAAATTTACTAATTAAATTTGCTAAAAGTTATGATTTTTTTTATTTTGAATGGCTGTATGGTAGAGTATTATTATCCTAGTAAACATACCTTTATTTTGACGAGAGATGCATCAGTGATTGACTATATATTCTGAATTCATTTTGGACCATTGTGTTGGATTCAAGGTACTTGGTGATAACTGTATCAGAAAATGATCTGATAAATCAACTATCAGATCAAATACAAATTTACCAATTTCTAATGAGAAAATAAGTAAAGGAGTCAATTTACAAAGAAATATAAATATAACATTAAAAAATTTGAGTCTGAAATAGATGATAGAATGAAACTAGTTCTAAAGGTGGGATTCAGAAAAATTTATAATAATAAATTAAGCAAAATTTTCAATGATTATATTATTGAATTGAACCCACATAGATGTCATTTTATTTAAGTATTTAATTCTAGGTTTAATCTGGACTGTTATAGGGCCAAGAGACTAAAAGAATATACTCTGGCATCATTTCATAAAAATAGAACAAGAGAACGATTAATTGAATATAGTGGTTCAAAAAAAAAAAAAAACATAAAATAGCTTCTTTTCCTTGCCTTTATAAGATTATTATAACTTTTCTATTAATAGTTTTTTGTTCGACAAGAATAACACTTTCTTCTGGTCAATAGTGAAAAAATATCGTCCAAGAACTAGGATGGAAAACCAGGAGCATATTTTGTCAAATGATTTGATTTTTTCAAGGAGAGGAAATCAGATATACCAATTAGTTTATCGGAAATAGATGTAATCGTAATGTATGGTGAGGAGATGGTGCTGAATCTGCCAATACATGCTTCTGAAATAGTAAATATTGTTAATAAACTAAGTGAATATATTGCTGTTGGACCTGATTTTAATACCAGCCTGTTTTCTAAAATAATTACCAATTGAAGCAGCAGAAGTTTTGGCATTTAGTTACAATTATATATATGAACATGGTATTTTTCCTGAAACGTGGTGCTCTGCATATTTTCAGTTGATATTCAAAATGGGTGATAGTCTCATTTTGTCAAATCCCAGTAATTATAGACCCATTACTATATTATCTACATTAAGGAAAAACTTTACATCAGTTCTTGCTAATAGGTTAAATCAATGGACAAGAGTGAATTCTTTAATATCAAACTCACAATTTGCATTTGTTAAGAGGAGTGGAATGAAAGTTGCAACTTTTGTATTGCTTTCAACTATTCAAATTCATGTCTCTAGAAAAAGACAGTCTATGCAGCTTTTTTAGACCTAGAAAAGTTTTTCTATCGATATCAAATCAATGTGCTAAACTAAAAATACATGATGCAGATTCATTATTTATAAAAGTGATTAAATCTTTATTCATTTACTATTTAGTCACAATTAAAAGTGGTAAGAATACTTACCCTCCTTTTGACATATGTGGAGATCTCTTGAAAAGTGACCAATTATCACCTTATTTAATTTCATGATCCATGATATTGATAAACAATTCAATAGGGAAGATGGAATTCTAGTGGGAAATCAGACAGTGCATTCAATTCAATATGTGGATGATGTGGTGTTAATTTTGACTACTAAAATTGGTCTACAAAGAAAACTAAATCAATGCAGAAATATTTTTCCCAGTTGAAAATGAAGATTGACCCAAATAAAACATATGTCCTTATATTTTGAAGAGGAGGAAGAATGGATAAACAGGATCATGATTTTTACCTTCTAAATGACAAATTGAAAGCAGTTGAAGAAATTGCATACTTAGGAATTCACTTTACTTCAACACTATCTTTTGAACAACATTTTCAAAAAGTTCAAAACAAAACAAATAGAATAATAAATAATATAATTTATCTACTAGTTAAAATGAAAATTAATTCTATATGAAAACAATTTCAGCTTTCATCAATAGTCATAAATTCAATATGTTATGCTCTCCAGTGTAGACCATGGATTGGTTTTCTTATTTCGAGAAAATCCAATTATTATTATTATATATAAGGAAAATTTATTGTCTAGACAGGGCTGTGCAATTTGTCATGATACTAATAGCTAAAATTGGAGTCTTATATGGTAATAAGGATTGAGGTTTTATAAGAGAATGGCCAATAGTGAGAATACATCGATAAATACTAGGGTTTCTCAAACGGGATCCCGGTTGTTTTTTTAACCTGGGAAATATCCCGGGAAATTTTTCTTATCCCGGAAAATCCCGCAAATTTCTTAAAAATTCACTTTTTTTCTTATTTTGTGTTAAGGTTGAGGAATNTATAATTTATCTCCTAGTTAAAATGAAAATTAATTCTATATGAAAACAATTTCAGCTTTCATCAATAGTCATAAATTCAATATGTTATGCTCTCCAGTGTAGACCATGGATTGGTTTTCTTATTTCGAGAAAATCCAATTATTATTATTATATATAAGGAAAATTTATTGTCTAGACAGGGCTGTGCAATTTGTCATGATACTAATAGCTAAAATTGGAGCCTTATATGGTAATAAGGATTGAGGTTTTATAAGAGAATGGCCAATAGTGAGAATACATCGATAAATACTATATTGAAAGTACTTAAAAGATTAGCTGAGGTGAAAATTTCATTCGTTGTTTATTAACAGTTTAAGTTTTCCTCCTTCAAACAATTATATTAAATTCCAAATCCCATTTAAGATAAAAAGATTTTATATGCAGCTTAGTTTTTTTTTTTTTTTTGTAGTAGTTGACATGAATTATTTAAATATCAATAATAGTCAATGCAGAATGTGCCAATCTCAGTTTTCTATTTACTATTTAATTTGTATATGTAATGAATGTATAAATCTTAGAGATCAATTTGGTATTTCTGCTTTATGGTAAAATTCCTTTATAGATTCGTGCACAGTCAAACTATTTCAAATGGGTCCAACTATGATAACTAGAGTATACAATTTTTTAATAAATATATTAAATTGTCAGAGGACCACAGCGGTAATATAGAAAATGAGCCTCAAGTCTAAATTTACTGATTCAACACTATGTATTCATGTGCTATGGAAAATTTCTAACATCATAGGAAATTTTATTTTAGTTCAACTGTTGATTGTAGTGTTTTAATTTAATGTATCTCCCTTGTAGCTGGATAAATTCCATAATATGTTAATATAGGTCTGAATATTCAAATTCATTAATATTATGGTAAAAGCTCATTTATGGGGCCACCTAATGGGGGTTATGAAAAAGTTGACATAGAGAACTAATTAAAATACTGTACTGAATCCACTTAAAAGTTTGGTACAGAAAAAATTATTAAATAGAAATCACGATGTAGGCAGAAGTGTCCAAGTGACAGAAAATGTTGAAATTGGATTTTAAATCAGGTTTATAAATATTTTTCTTTGGTCCATGTCACATGATAACTTAATCATCACTGATTTAGTTTTCATAAATTTTATACAGATTTGTATAAAATTATTGAACAAATATATAATTGTAAATAATCTTTATTTTATTTGAATATCTGTAGGAGGGAACTGTGACAAACTATTCTAAAACTAAAGTAACAGAGCTTGTTTAATGCTCTTTAAGTGGAATGAATACATTAAGTGAAGATATTGTTTGTTACATAAATGGTATAAATATCACTTTAAGACATTTCTGTTGTTACCACCAAGCAAATGTCTTTAGTATCTTCACAATCATCAAGTGCACTATATTTGTCTCTAGAAAAAAAAATAGACTTATGCTTACCTCACAACTTCCAGCACATTTGAGTTTTCAAACACCAAAAATTTTTGGCTTTGTTTGGAGACCCTCTTCAGGTGAAGAAACAAGATAAAATTATAACTTCACTGTGCTGCTATGTGTTTTTAAGTTATTCAAGTATCATGTTCTAGGTGTTCTAAAACTTCTTGAAGGTCTTAATCATTCAGCCAATAATGATTAGAGTAATTTTCAAGGTATTGCAAAATGTATATTTGAAAAAATTCATGTGTAGACAGCAAATGCTGATATTAAAATTCTACATTCCATGTAGATACTAAAAATTAATTCATTCCTCCTTCAGCAAATTCAGCCTTACTAGCCAAGCTTGTGCTACATTTCACTTGTCCTTGTTATTGTTAACATAGCTTCTGATACTATCCTGTATGTTGTAGATTTTGATAGTTTATCATCCTTTACTTAAAACAGCCAAAGTTTGACAGAACGAAAAATTCTAGCTTCAGTCCAGCATGGTATTTTTTCAGAATCTGATGAAAATTGGGCCAGAGCAATTGAGTGATTCTTCTTTACATCTTAGATGTAGGTTGCTATCATCTAAGATAGATAGAGCCCACATATGTCAGTTGCATATTATATCTAGTATTCATTAGTGGTATTTTGAATATTTCGGGTGCTCTTTGTATGTTTACTGTATCCTTCCCATTGATTAACAGGTTAGATCAGGCATGGCCAACATATGGCCCGCAGGCCGGATCCAGCTCGTCTAATGAATTTATGTGGCTTGCGATCAATCTTTCAATATTAGCTACTCAAGTCCAAATAGCTCGATGAAAAATTCTGACGCCTAAAAAGAAAAAGGGTCAACAACTCACTATGCGTTTTAGAGTTAACCCTCCATTACAAATCTCTTAAGTACTGTGTAGAATGTTGATAAAGCATGATAATGTGAAAAATGTATCTGTAATCTCTATCTACAATTCAGTCTCTACGGGGTGACACCACAATGAGATCTTGCACCACCTCAAAATCTTCTTAGGGCATCCTCTAGTTCGGCCCGTGGAAAAAGTTTTCTTTCCAGTTTGGCCTGGGGACAAAAACTGTTGTCCACTCCTGGGTTAGATTGTTGGTGATTGTATATGGGCAGCTTTGCAGTTTAAGTTTATAACTATTCTTGACAGAGATTATGGAGGTTAGGTTTATAATCTAATAGTATTTAAGCTTGCCTAGAATCTTTGGTCCAGTTGCTACAGCATTTTTTCTTCTAAAGCTTGAGATAATATAGAAACCAGACTAGCCTTATATTCATGTTTACAGCAATTTCCTTAATATTGTTTAATTCTATTTATCTCTTTCAACTGAGAGAAATGTGTGAGCACATTGAAGGCTACAGTTTAAATCTCCAGTAATCACAAGTTAGTGGATTAAAACCAGCTTGATGTGTGGACCTACGGGAACACTCTTGTGACTATGAATTTGTCTATAAGTTCTAAATCACAATCTAAAAATTGGACACTTATGTTGTTAAACTGATCTAATGCCAGAATTAGACCACAGCTGTGTGGTAAGCATAAATTAGTTACTATATAAAGCTCCAGTTTGTGATGTTTTCATTTTTAATTATTATCCATTTGAATCCAGCAGAATGAATTATTGGAGACATTAAAAATTTAAAGAATTTGTCTGTAAATATTGCTTTTGTAACTTGTTAAAATTAAATTTAGTGTTTGTATTTTTAGGCCTGTCATTGCAGAAATTGATGTCGAAGTCTTACAAGTAGATGAAAGAAAACGAGAAGCAATTTTCCAGGAGGTGATAGATTCTCAGGGACCACCAGATGGCACTGTAATAATAACTATTCCAGAATGTGATGAGAATACTGACATATACAGCTTGTTTGATGAAGAATTTATCAAAGAACTATGCCAATTGTTTTCCACAACAGGAGAAGTTATTTTAATAAGGTAAGCTTTAAATCATAAGTATATTTTTTAATATAGAACAGGCCATGAGATTCCATATTTTGACAGATTTGGGGAAGAGGCTTTGCTAGTTACTTTCAGAGAAGGTCAGAGTGCACTAGCAGCATTGAAATATTCTGGAACAAAGGTACAAACTTTACAATTGTATTCAAAACAAAAATTAAGGTTGAAATTGCTGACTAATACAACTATAAATCTGTCTTAGGTTCGAGGATATGATATAATCATTAACTTAAAAACACCAGAATGGAAAGATGCTGTTGAACGAGAATTACAGCTGTGTAGAAATAACACTATACCTTTATGCGATGTAGTGCAGGTATCCGTGCCCGAACCCAAAGATTTTCCTACACCTGAAATAGAATACGATCTTTCTGGTATTTACAACTCTAACATATAAATGGCTTTGCTGTATAGTATATTACAAATGTAAATCTGTCTCTGTAATCCAAAAAAAAACAATCTGCCAAACATCTACCAAAGTGTGTTTTTTTGGATTACAGAGACACATTTACATTTGTATTTACAACTCTATTTTCTAAGAATTTTAACCATTATTGTATACATGAGGTTTCTGTGTGTCGTAGATAACTGCCCTATAGTGGTTAAATGATTTAATTCAAATATCAATATCTTTGTCACAGCTTACTGTATTGATAATGAAGATGCACCATCCCAGTCATCTTCAGCACGCACGTCTCCAACTAGTATGGTGGAAACAGGTTTTGAAGATGTGGAATGTAATCCTTCTGTTCCTGGACGATCAATGCCAGTCAGGCCACCACCGCCGCGTCCTCCTCCACCCACTCGACCTCCGCCTCCACCTCGACCCAAATTACCTCAGAGAAATGAAGAGAGTAATTCTGAGGTAATAGTTCTTGCTGTTTAAAAAAGGTTTTTCTTTTTTTGATAGTGTGGATAAATAAACAATTTGTTTGTAGGTTACAACAGAGAAATCGCTTCCACCCATGCACCGTCCGCCAAGACCTACGACAGTATCCGTATCTCACAGTTGTAAAAGGAATGATACTAATACAGAAGTGAAAACTGACAATGAATGTAAAATATCAAAAGAAAGTGAAATCAGAGACATGCCTATTCTAGACGTAATAAAACCTTCAGAGGAATCGTTAGAATGGAATCATCCACCCGATATGCCACCTCCTCCTCCACCGCCACGCATCGACTCTTTTGGTAACAGCCAGCCTCAGACCGGTAATCCACCACCACTATCTCCTTGGGAAACCTTGCCTCCAGCACCTCCACCTCCCATAGAAGAGGAGGAAAATGTTCCTCCGCCATCAAGCCAACCCCCGCCACCTCCCATTCCTTCGCGGCCGAAGGCTCCAGCCGAAACTGCACCCAATCCCCCACCCATTCCAGCCAGAACCAAAGTCGGAAATGCATCCGCACCACCAATCGCACCACGCCAGTCTCTAAATCTAAACTAATCATGAGACATTCCAGAAAGATTATTTTAAGCAAATAATTTATAAGGTGATGACAAAAATATTTGTGTTGTGTGATCATTTGGCAATTATTTAAACAGCTTTCACATCTGTGGTAATGTAAATATATGTACGAACACAAGCTAAATCCAAAGAATCGAGCAGTAAATTATTTTCTAGTCAAGAACATAAAAATGCTCATACGTAAATAGCAATGTCAAAATCTTAATTTTTGAAAAACAAAAATTTAAATCTTCTAAAACGAGCATCAAAATCATGTGATTTTAATTGTATGAAAATCAAAAATGTAATTGGTGTTACATCTGTGAGCTTAGATCATGTCTAGAGACTTAATACTAGAGAAATTAACAGGAAAAATGAATGTCTAGCTTCTAAACATAGTTTCTTTTCGATGTTCAAAATTGCTAAATGTGCCTACTCGTCAACCACATACAGTAGTTGCCAAACTGTAAAGTGTAAACCGTACGTGTAAAATTCATAAATTTCTGTAATTAGTGATAAGAAAAATTAATTTATATAAAATTAATATGTTGCTGTACACATTCCATGTTGCCACTTGACATGGGGGAAATGATTTTGAGAGATGTAAATTTGTTTTGTTTGTAGAAATTATATATATATATACACAATTACATATAATATATATTATATATTATGATTAAAATTCAGATTTTTTTGTTGATTTTTTTCCCATTGTCACTTTTTTCAATGTAAGAAATAAGAAATCCTTTAAGAAATGGCAGGAAAAAGAAATTTGTTCCCTTCCTTTATTTTCAAGTACTAATGTACAAATTCTTTAATGTAAAAGTGATAAATTCTAATTCCTTATGATGCTGATACACCTTTTTGTGTGATTGAATTATAAGGACTTGGATCCATCTAGAGCAGGCATGGCCAACATAAATCCATTACACGAGCATGATGGATTTATGTGGCCTGCAATTAATCTTTCAATATTAGCTTCTCTGAAAAATTCTACGCCTGAAAAAAAACAAAGGTCAACAACTCGCAGGCTGGTTAGAGTTAACCCTCCATTACAAATCTCTTACATACAGTGTAGAACCACCATACTCAACCTTGTTTTCTCTCGGGCCATATACACATGATAGCTATTAACGCGGGCCGCAACATAACAATTATAATAAAAAACTTAATTTCTCACTTACCCTAGAAATTTAGTGTGACTGTTGATATTGCAAACATTATTTCACAATTTCATTTAAATTGTTTTTTTATACTTCCGCCCTGTGGGCATTAAGAGGGCCTCTTATAGCAAGCCCATTATGGGTTTGGCCAGGCCCACAATGGGTTTGGTGTGACCGGGTGGTGTGGGACGGGGCCCGACATATCCGAACGGACCACCCCCGAAAAATTCCTGAGGATTCCCTGACCCAACCGGATTCGATCCCGGGTCCCCCAGAGTTGTAGGGGCCATCAATTCATTTAAATCAGGCTTGTAACTGCTGCATGCTACTCGTAAAACGGCATCCAGGTTTGAATCAGTAAGCCAGTTTCTATATATGTTCTTTGCATATTTCATTTTCAAAGTGATGTTTCACATAGATACGTTGATGCGAACAACGTAAGTAAAATTTGAGCACTTTTTTTAGTCTTATATTGATCGGGCACTACTTTCCAGAAGTCAACCTAATTATTTTCTGCTCTCTTTCACGCCCGGGCCACTCCCAAAAGCTCAGCGGGCCGCAGGTTGAGTATGGTGGGTGTAGAACGTTGATAAAGTATGATAATGTGAAAAATATATCTGTATTCTCTATGTACAATTTAGTTTCTACGGGGTGACACCACAATGAGATCTTGCACCACCTCAAAATCTTAGGGCAGCCTCTGGTTTGGCCCTTGAAAAAAGTTTTCTTTCCAATTCGGCCCGGGAGCAAAAACTGTTGGCCACCCCTGATCTAGAGCCAAGTCCTGTTGACTTAATCATATGAAAGGAGAGGATAAATTGTATGGAGAGGTTGGCAATAACCGGCTATCTACCTCCGATAACCTATTTCTCTTCATCTTCTCCCTCCTCCTTTACATGAAAATCATCTTTTTCATCTTTTCTTCATAATGATCTTTGGCCACTTGGTACTTACTTTGCTATTTGTCTATCCTCTGTTCTTATGTGCCTAGCACACCTTAATCTTTGAATTTTAATTATTTATAGGATGCAGTGGCGTGCCGTCATTAGAAGCGTTGGAAGCGCTGCTTCCCTCGTATTCTCTAAAAAATAAATAAATATTAATTTTAATTATATGAAAATAATCGCACAATATTTTATTATAACCGCATTATGTATCTTATTACAAATTTCTATACTACACGTGGAAAAAAAAAATTGCTATTGTATATTAGAATATTAGTGGCGGAGTGGAATCTCCTGTATTTTCAGATTACGAAAAGCCAGATTTGCGCATGCGCTTTACAGAGCACCAACCTCACCCGGTTTAGCCGGTGGAAGC